AAGTAGTTGCTACCTGATTAAAAATACCCTGACTTCAATGATTCAATAAATTGCAAGCTTTCATATAGGTAATTATCATAGTTGACATTCCTTTATCACCAGAAAATTTAACTTTTGTTTTCTCGGGTACATTTATTTTGACGATCTTATTGCAATCAACAATGACAAAGTTTTCAGACATCCATTTCTTAACTAAAATCAAATCGAGTTCTATCAAGGGCAATACAATAAGTTGGGCATTAAAACTCTTTCCACCAATCATAAGCTCCACATCACATGATTTATTAACTTTCAGAAAAACACCATTTGACATTCTAACTGATAGTATCACAGGCATCAAAGGATATTCAATCGAATCAATTTAGTCAGTTCATCAACTATAAATGAGTGCGATGCTCCCGAATCAAATAATAATCTTATCTACTCTAAAGATATATGATACTTATCATAAAATCATTGCATAAAACTTTAGAGTTAGCTTATTTATGTATATAAAATTTGCTTTATGTATGACATGACATAAATTTTATGATGCTTAAAGTGCACTGATTTAAAATTATTAAGAGTAAAACATATATGTGATGATGTCAGGGGACTCCTTAGCTTCCTGCTACGATAATGTATATACTCTGAGTTGAACATTCTGCTGAGTCTGACCTGTATTTGACACTGATCCTAAAGGTTCGGCTGCTCGCAGTCTATCATAGCTCCTCTGAAGTGGTGTGACACTGCCTCTCAAATTTGTTGGAGCCCTCTTACCTAATTTAGGTTAATTTTTTTCCCATATGTCTTAGTTAGTGGCACCAAAAGCAAGTATTTGATCAATATACACTCACCCTTATGAGACCTTCTATATTTGTTGCACTTCCTCGCTTCAAACTGAGTGCCAACGTTGTTGAATATAGCCTTCTTAGCACTTTTACTACTTGACTGGAAAGACTGCTTCTAAGAGCTCTGAGGAAATCTGGATCCATCTGAATTTCTTCTCTTCTGAATGTCCATCCTACTCTGAGTAGCCTTCAGATCCAGCTCAATCCTCCTAGATTCTCTCCACCATAATAGAGGAGTAATCATCAATTCCAAGAGGAATCAATGGTTGTCTAATCACATCCCTGAGCCCAGAAAAAAAATCAGTGGCACTTCTCTGCATGAGGGATCAACTGAGGTGCATACCTTGAGAGCATCATGAATTCAGCTTCATATTGCATAATCGAGCGATCACCCTATACCAGCCTGATAAACTTTTTTGTATTTGTCTCCGGGCGGACAGTGGTACTAACGAATTTCTAAAGGTGCTCACGAACTCGCCCCATTTATATAAGGATCTGAAACTAGATATGGTATTATGGTCTAGGTTGCATTGACACAAAGACTGAGGTCAGAAAGATTCTGTTTCGACCTCAAATTCGCAAAACCACAGAGCATGGTCGAGCTGTTGGAGATGACCAACAAGTACATCGTCACCTATGAGAACACCTAAGAACCCGCCGAACAAAGATACCAGAAACGACCGTATCAGCATAACAGAAAGCAACCCGGAAAAAGCACACGACCAACTTTCCGCCCACACTAGGAGAACTACCATCGTAACAACCCCATCCATCGTCACGAAGACCGAAGGAGACAAGTGAAGATCCCACACCATTGATCATTCTAGCGCTATGAATACCAAGATAATCACAGGGTCCCTCTCTATGGGTGTCCATAGCTGAAATAGTGGACGCCATTCGGGAAAAGGAGTACTTCAAAAAGGCAACCCCGATGAGAGTTGGCGCCTTTCTTCGAGATAGGAGGAAGTATTGCAAATATCACAAAGATCACAGACACGACATGGAGGAATGTAGACACCTACGGAGGCTGATCGAAAAACCGATAGAGGGGAAGCTGAAAGAATTTGTCGCTCCTGGAATCGCGACCCAGAGGCAAGGCAAAGTCTCCATATGAGGAACGATCAACATTCCTATCCACACCAACGCCATTTACATCGCGACATATGTGCCCGTAATCTTTGGAGGAAACGAACCGCCCAGGAAGATAAATCGAAAAAGGAAACAAACTGGAGAACTCTGTGCCGCAGCCTTCACACTGAAACCAAAGAGCCACCGGCCTCTCTGTTTTACTGATGAAGATCTATCTCCGAAGGGAAATCCATATAATGATGTTATTGTGATAATGACAATAATCAATAATTATCAAGTTGGAAGTATTCTCGTCGATATCGTGAGCTCCGTGAATTTTCCATTCAAATAGATATTCGACGAACTGAGTCTCACCGCCGATCAGATGACTTCACCGACCAGACCACTGAATGGATTTTCGGGCAAAAGGAACGAAGCGTTTGGTGTAATTGGGCTTTCGGTAAGTTGGGAGGAAAATGAAAAGCCGTCCACGCTAACGAAGAATTTCCTCATGGTGGATTCTCCTCCGACATATAACGCTATATTCGGTCTGCCATTTATGAAAGATTTCAGGGTGGTGTTACTTGCGGCTCCTCTGTGTGTCGTCGCCAAATTCCTTGGAGATGGAGAAATTATCACAATCAAAGGGAACTTAGAACAATCTTGAGTCTGTTACTTGCGGCCCATAGCACAATCCCCTGAACGTCCATAACGCAAGTGAAGGTGGCCTCGAGACCAACGAAATCACCCGCGAAGTCCCGATCGTTGAAGGGGAGCTAGGTAAATGTTTTCTGATAAGTAAGGCTTTTGATCCATAACGCAGGGAGATGTTGGGTCAGACTCTCTAAGAAAACTGAGTGGCCTTTGCATGGACGACCACTGAACTTCCAAGTGTACTGATCGACGTTGCCTGCCACAAAATGGATGTCGATCCAGCGGCTCGATCCATGAAGCATAAGATAATGAGCTCGACCATGACATTTGCAGGACCCATCCGATACGAGGTATGAAAGCTGAAGGAGGTCGGATACATTCAAGAAGTGAAGTACCCCACCTAGGTCTTTAATGTGGTGATGGTGCAAAAAACTAACAGAAAATGGAGGATTTACTTGAACTTCACCAACTTAAACTCAACGACGCATACCCGCTGCCAAGGATCGATGCAGTAATAGATTCGACAGCCGATCATTTTGTCCCAAGCTTCCTTGATGCGTTCTTTGGGTATCACCAAATTAAAATGCATCCCATTGATGCAGAAAAAACTTCTTTTATTACTTGTGAATGTGTGTACTGTTACAATGTAATGCCCTTCGGACATAAAAATGTGGGGCAATTTTCCAACGCGTAATGGGTATAATCTTTGCTAATAAAGAAGGAAGAAACATTGAGGTATATGTTGATAATGTGTTAGTTAAGAATCAGTCGGCTGAGCAACACATTGAAGATCTAAAAGAAATTTTTCTAACACTTAAAAAATTTAACATGAAATTGAACACATTGAAATGTATCTTTGGGAGCACGAAAGAAAGATTTCTGGGATACTCGCTAACCCCCAAAGACATAAAAGCTAACCCGAAAAGATCAAAGCACTCCTTATAATGCACCCTCCACGCCCCACCCAC